ATCTACGAATTTAAAAAAAAAAACTCTCTGGTTGCTACAAGTGGCGCACATGCAGTGCACCACTTGTCACAAACTAAGAAGTGTGAAGTGATCTTTGAAAGGAGTACTACTCAATTAGTGATTTCGCATGAATGGGAGTCACGTCCGTGAATGGGCTGGGCTTGTACTAGCATGTTTCTGGGCTGGGCTCAACTCTCAATGGCCGCATCCAAAAAATTGACTGGTAGAATGAAAATCCCGGGCCCATGGAAATTTCGAAACGGCAAAGGAAGAACTGACTGCTGCTGCTCCTACTAGTAGCGAGATCCCGGCGAGGAGGAGCAGTCGCAGCATTATGCCGAGACCAAGATGGACATTATCTGGGTTCATCGGCGGTGTTTTTTCATGGGATTACTGATCCTTTAACTTTGGAGACTTACGCTTGCCGCGAAGCCCTGGCACTGGCTGACGACCTTGCAGAGCAGAAGGTGTGTGTGGCCTTGGACTGTCAAGAAGCTGTGAATGACATCAACAGAGGGACAGGATGACCCAATGCTGCGTTGGTGCATGAAATAACAAATCACTGTAATAGTTTTATTTCTTGCTCTTTGTTGCGTGTAATTTAGACATAGGTAGACATGTTTGGTTGGGCAACCCCCATGACTCAAACCTTGTACCTATGGCAATTGTTTTGAATGAATAAAGCAGGCGAGAATTCTCAAAAAAAAAAAAAGACTGCTGCTCCTACCTGCTTTCGCTTTCAAGTGATGTAAGCTGGTCGTACAGTAGGAAAAATGATACAGCAGGAAGTATGTATCCACCATTGAACTAGTGGCGAACAACCACCACTACATCTACTCGGCAACCACTTGGCAGTCCTGACGTTGCCTGATGGAACTGACTGGTAACATGAGAAACCTCGCAACAGCCGGCAGTTGCTCCGTTTCCTTCCTCTATCGTTGCCTGCCTAGTGAAATTGATCTCTGCACTACATTTGGCATCGTCTTATCAAAAAGGCAGTGAGCCGAACGGTGATGCCATGGCCGTTGAGCGTCCGTCGCGGGACGCAGCCAGGTCCTGCACTCGTGACAAGCAAGAGAAGCCTGATTTTGTCCTAGAAGAAGGGATACCAAGCAAGCCCCAGGCTAGTACAGAATTCAGGGTTGTTTGGTTTCTAGCCATATCTTGCCACACTTTACCACATCTCATCTTAGACAAATTTAATCAAGTTAGGTGGGTGTTTGGTTCTAGCCACACATAAGGCAAGAATTTTTTTATGAGAAGTGAATCCCACATGTTATATACACAAAAAGTGTGGCAAGATTTCCTTAGGCAAGCCAAAGTGTGGCTAACAATTTAAGCAACTCAAGTTAGGCAAGTGTGATAAGTGTGGCAAAAAATAATATGACAATATATAGCAAATATAGTCACAATCCAAACAGCCCCGAAATCATCTCCTCTGCTAGAGCGAGACAACTAGGTAAAAATCTGTTCAACATGATAGAATCAACAGCTCACCCGGCTCCGTAGAAAACACAAAAACCACAGCGCTGAACCAATCTTGTGCCTTTTTTGGGGCAAAAAAGAAAGAAGAAAGAAAGAAGACGCTGCCAAGTCTTGTCCTGAAAATGGACCGCTCAACGGCTCCAGTATTTGCCCAGAAACACAGGGATAAAAACAGAGGAAAAGGTTGCTGATCAATTGAAGTAGTATCCGGTCAGTTGTCTTACTCTCTGTCGACCCTTCGACACGGTATACACGCTGACACACATACCTACTCGGTCCGACGGGGATGGATGTGGACGTTTGAACGGTAGCGAGGTGAACGCACTAGTTTATGTTGGTTCATTTTGTAATGAAAAAAGTATGTTTTTGTCCTTCAAGTTCCTAAAAAGTACAGACTTAGTCCCTCAAGATTTTTTGATATACATTTGGTCCCTCAAGTCTCAAAATCGGACAAGTTTGGTCCTAAACCAGATTTGACCCCGTTGACCGGGTTTAACCACCACAAAACAGCCCGATGAACAGTAAATTCGAGTTTTTTTAAAAAATATCTTCAAAAAAATCTGAAATTTTTTGGGGTCGAATATGCTTACATGCGCAAGGTGCGACCAAATTTTCATGGTCTTTCGACACTCGAGGAGCTCGTGGCAAAAAAAGAAAAATATCTACGTCCAATGAACAGTAAATTCGAAAACTAAATCAAAAAAATTCAGAAAAATCTGAAATTTACTGGGGTCTAATATGATTGCATGCTCAAGGTTCAACCAAAATTTGGTGGTGTTTCGAGACTCAAGGAGCTCGTGGCAAAAAAAACAAATTTTCGCTCACAAAAAATAGCAAAAATTTGTTTTTTTTTGCTACAGCCCGTCCTACGTCATTTCATGACAAAATGTTGGTCGCACCTTGCGCATGTAACCATATTGGACCCCAAAAATTTTCTGATTTTTTTGAATTTTTTTATTTTATTTTCAAATTTTCTATTCATCGGACAGATATTTTTGTTCTTTTTTTCACAAGCTCCTCGAGTGCCGAAACACCACGAAAATTTGGTCGCACTTTACGCATGTAAGCATATTGGATCCCAAAAAATTTCAGATTTTTTTGAAGATTTTTCTAATAAAACTCGAATTTACTGTTCATTAGGCGGTTTTGTGGCGGTCAAACCCGGTCAACGGGGTCAAATCTGGTTTAGAACCAAACTTGTTCGGTTTTGAGACTTGAGGGACCAAATGTATACCAAAAAATCTTGAGGGACCAAGTCTATACTTTTTGGAAACTTGAGGGACCAAAAACATACTTTTCTCTTTTGTAATCGTTCGAGTATGAAGCGCACAAGGCCTTCACGTCAGAACGGGTCCATTCACATTGGCTTTTTTTTATATTCGTATGTGAGTGCATCTAAAAATCTCAATCTTTCAGTTTTGTAAGATCTTTTTCTTTGGAAATAGGCAAATTTTAATTACAATCACATCAATTTTCAGTCTGATTTTGATTTCCAGTATGGAATACGAGTGAAGGAGAGGAGTATCCAAACCACGCAAGTTGCATTATTACATCGTCCAACACATGATTGGGATCATTTTCTCTCAACACTGAGAATTTTTGACTCGTCCTTGTCGACATGATTTGAAGGACTTATGTTGAATCTGAACAGGAGGAACCCATGCATTCTTTCGAGAATCTCCAAACCTGTTATAGTAGTGATTTTTAAGATATGCATAATAAATTCACAAGAAAGGAGTATAACTAACTCTACCCATTAGACCACCATAATCTCTTGATACATGCAATTACACAGCAATTGCGTCCAATCCTATATGAGCTCGGCCACACATCACTAGCTAACCTCCACGAAGAAAGAAGCAACAGCTCACCCCATGTGTTAGAAAAAATTACCAAAACTAAACCACATGGCTGGCTTGCCTTTTTATTTTTTTTCCAGAAAAAACTTCTGATCTATTCATCTTCAACAATTTAGTACAACAAACACTAAAAATAATAAAAATTATATCCAGATCCGTAAACCACCCAGCGACGACTACAAGCACTGAGCGAGCCTAAGGCACGCCGATGTCATCGCCCCTCCCTCGCCGGAGTCGGGCAAAACTTGTAATACTCCCTCCATTCGCTTATACAAGGCCACAAACTCATATTACAGGTATCAAGATAAAATTTAATGACTCCTTTGCAAGTCAACTTTTCATTTTATTAACTGGGATCATTAATACACCACAAGCATGCAACGAATGAATGGGAAGGAAGTGCCTAAGTGTCATTATGACTACATGCATGTAAGTATTAAAAAGTTGCTAGTATGAGGAAACATCATTAATTTTGCCTCGATTACTGTTGGTGGCCTTGTATTGATGCAAAATGTATTTTTGATAGTGGCCTTGTATAAGGGAATGGAGGGAGTAGTAGACAGTCGGGAAGTCGTCGTGCTAAGGCCCCATAGGGCCAACGCACCAGAACAGCAACTACCGCCGATGAATAGTAGTGTAGATCAGAAAGATCCAACCTCAAAACACATGAACATACACAGACGACGACCAGATCCGAGCAAATCCATCAAAGACAGATCCGCCGGAGACACACCTCCACACGCCTACCAATGATGCTAGACGCACCACCGGAAGGGGGACTAAGTGGTGAGACCTTTATTTCATCTTGAGGGAGTCGCCATCATCTCGCCTTCCTGAGCAGAACACAAATCCTAACAAAACTCAGAGAAAAATATGAAGATGGAGCTCTCCCACCGGCAAGGACCGGGATCCACAACGCTTCCATGACCCTACGACCACCGGAGACGAGGCGGACCGGAAGTGACGCCGGCGGGAGGCCAAGAAACCCTAGCTTGCCTTCTAGCCAAACAAAAAAGACGCCACACGCTTTCCCAAAGTCTTTGCCTAGTAAAGATGGGGGAAAAGAGGAAAAGTTGTTGTCTTGCTGATCAATTCAATTAGAGAAATTCACTACAGGACATATAGCTTAGTGCATAGCTTGTTGCATGTACACGTAAAACTACAAGTGTGGGCGTCCTATATAAAAACTGCTAAGTGCTGGGTTGTTTCTCATAATCCCCTCCATTGAATGTTGAATGGACGCTGAATTGATGGCCGTATGCTACGACGTGACTGCCAGTGGGCAACTCACCTGATCCCAGTCCGTCCACAACCAGTCTCCCACGACGTTCAAGCGTTGGATGCTCCCTCTGTTCAATGCTTTCAGCTCTTCTTTTTTGGCCTGCAATGATAAATAATCTGGCAGTAGGACAACTCGCTTACTCCACTTGCCTTTCTCTGCTTGATTTTTTTAAGAGTCAGTTGCATATGAGATGTACCCTTGATTTTTTTAATGTGCAAGAGAATCTTTTTTTAGATGTACCCTTCATTTTTTTCAAGAGGCACTTGCAGTAATATATACTCCATTAGTCGGTCCTCTTCCTGCACTAGTCTCCACTTTGAACACACACCAAGCACAACCTAAGAAATGGGTGCGAGAGAGGAATAGAGAGATCAATGGATGCTGTGAGTGCTTCACATGGCGTCTTGGGTCCCCTGCTGGGGAAGCTCACCAGTTTGCTCGCCGGTGAGTGTGCCCGCCTCAAAGGCGTCCGGCGTGAGATCCGCTCGCTCAAATCTGAGCTGAGCGGCGTGCATGCTGCCGTCCACAAGTACACGACACTACAAGATCCTGATGTCCAGGTGAAGGCGTGGATATCGTTGTTGAGGGAGCTGGCCTATGACATCGAGGATGTCATCGACAAGTTCATCCACCAACTCGGTACTAGCGGCCACCACCAGGGTGGTTTCAAGGAGTTTTTTCGTAAGACTGCTCGTCGTCTCAAGACGATAGGCTCTCGTCGTGGACTTGCCAGCCAAATCGACGATCTGAAGATTCGTCTCAAGGAGGTAAAAGAGTTGAAGACTAGTTACAAGCTGGATGATATTCCCTGTGAACATTCAACTGTGGATCCCCGCTTGTCTGCTATTTTTGTTGATGAAGCACACCTTGTGGGCATTGATGGTCCCAGAGATGATCTTATCAATTGGATGCTGGAAGATGAAAGTAACTCGGCCAAGCAGCGCAAGGTGTTGTCCGTTGTTGGCTTTGGTGGTTTGGGGAAAACGACACTGGCGAGGGAGGTCTACCGCAAGATCCAAGGACATTTCCATTGTTGGGCTTTTGTCTCTGTCTCACAAAGGCCTAATGTAAAGAAAATTATGAAGGATTTGATCTCCCAGATGCCTTGCAAGAAAGATTTTAGAGAAGGTATCGACACCTGGGATGATGTGAAACGTATTGCGAAGCTAAAAGCGCTCTTAAAAGATAAGAGGTAATTTCACCCCCCCCCCTTCCCCACCACATCTTTTTTAGTTTCTTATTAATACAAGCCTAACGATACTGCACTGAAATAAAATCAAATTGTAAACAAATATGTATAGAGGTTCAAGATTAGTGATGTACTCAAACGATTCAAAAAGAAAATACTCAACCTTTAAAGCATGAATAACATATATGCAGGTTGTTGACACATGAGTATACGATATAAAAATTTACTTCTAAGTATGGCACCACACACATTAGATATTCAAACAAGTGTTATGGACAAAAATACTCAAACTAGTATTTGAAATGATGTGTGTATGAACATGGGAAAACATTGTTAAAGTGAGAATTTTTTTGAACATAAGTTGGTTAGTTTGGTGTTGCATCTATGTCTGAAGTCTCGGTTAACTAAGCAAAGTACACAAGGCAACATATGTAATAAGCACATTGTGGACCTTAGATAACTTGTTGAGTGCTTGCAGCTTACATGATGCTCAGAGTATCTTGGTTTATTTTTATTGCTGATTTTTGTTATTACCATCCCCTTGGAGTTTGTAGTGCTTTTTCTGTGTGTATTATGCTTGAATTCCTTATACATGATATTGGTATCTTTATGTTCTATATTTGAGATCTTTTTCATAGTGGTTAACAATATGTACTTATATTCATTAGGTATCTCATCGTTATTGATGATATATGGTCCATATCAGCATGGGACGCTATTAAGTATGCTTTCCCAGAGAATGATTTTTGTAGCAGAATTATTGCTACTACACGCAATGTTGATGTAGCAAGATCTTGTTGTCAAGGTGGTAATGGTCGCATGTATGAAATGGAAGCCCTGAGTGATCTCAACTCCAAAAGATTGTTTTTCAAAAGAATATTTGGTTCCGAAGACTGTTGCCCTGATGTGCTAAAACAAATTTCAAATAATATATTGAAGAAATGTGGAGGCCTCCCATTGGCAATTATCAGCATATCAAGTTTATTGGCAAACAGACCGGTGATCAAAGATGAGTGGGAGAGGGTGAGAAGGTCTATTGGTTCTGCATTGGACAAAAACCAAAGCTTAGAAGGAATGAATAGCATATTATCCCTTAGCTACAATGACCTTCCACCGCATCTAAAGACCTGCTTGTTATATTTATGTACATATCCCGAGGACTATGTGATTGAGAGAGATATTTTAGTGAGGCGATGGATAGCCGAAGGCTTTATCTCTGAAGAACGTGGACATACAAAACAAGTGGTCGCCGAGAACCATTTCTATGAGCTAATAAACAAAAGTATGGTTCAACCGCTGGAAGTTGGCTATGATGGAAAGGCTCGTGCTTGCAAAGTCCATGACATGATGCTCGAGCTCATTATTTCAAAATCGGTTGAAGATAATTTCATCTCTTTGGCAGGCCATGACCAAACTTATTTGGCAAATCGTCATGGTCTTATTCGGCGACTATCTGTCCAGCATATTGACCAAGAGCTTGCATCAATATTGGCAAATGAAGATCTAAGTCATGTACGATCTGTGACAGTGATATCATTACCTTGCATAAAACACTTGCCTAGGCTTGTTCATTTTGAAGCTTTGCGTGTCCTAGAATTTCAAGATTGTCAGAATCTGCATGAGTATGATATGAATGGCATAGATAAACTATTCCAGCTGAAGTACCTTAGCTTTAGGGGTACTGACATGTCAAAGCTACCATCAGGAATTGTGAGGCTATATGATCTAGAGACGCTAGATCTTAGAAATACACATATAGAAGAATTGCCCACTGGAATTATTCAGCTTGTTAAGCTACAATATTTACTCATTGCAAGATATTGCCCTTCTGGTGATCCTTACGGTGAAACAAAGATACCATATGGGATTGGAGATATGAGGAATTTACAGGTTATCTCGGGCATTAATATTTTCAAGAGTTCATTATGTGCAGTCGAGGAGCTAGGGAGCCTGACCGGGTTGAAAGAACTCTATCTACAGTTGGAAGGGGGAGGATCTCAAGAATATAAGAGGCACGAAGAGATGTTACTCTCCTCACTATGCAAGCTTGGCACCTGCAAACTTCAGTCTTTATGTATAATCTCTTGTGATTCAACGCCCCTTCAGTTCTTAAATTCCTGGTCCCCTCTGCCGGATAACCTCCAAATATTTTCGATGTGCAGTAACTACTATTTACCAAAGATGCCAAAGTGGATTGTACGAGCACTCACCAGTCTTGCACACCTGGATATAAATTTGGTTGAAGCAACAGATGAGGATCTGCGGATACTTGGAGAGATGCCTAGTTTACTTTGCCTGAGTATAACATTCAAGACTGTCCAAAAAGAAAGGCTTACCATACAAGGCGTTGCATTCCAGTGTCTGAGGGAATTTTTCATTATTCGTTCTGCCTCGTGTGCAAGTGCAATTTACTTGACGTTTGAAGAAGGGGCACTGCCAAAGCTGGACAAGCTTAGGCTGCCGTTGTTTGTTTCACTTGCAGAAGCGTATGGGTTCTACTTGGGTCTTGGCCACCTCCCCTGTCTGAGAGCTGTCGAAGTTACTATCTACAATGGCATATTGTTCAAAAGCACCTCTGCAGCAATTGTCGCTATACAGAAAGAGGCAAAGAGCCACCCCAACCATCCCAGATTAACTATCAGGAGTGAGGGAACTACACGGAGGAAGAGAGCTACCAATGGAAGAGGTATTAATCATAATCAACAATTTCGTACAACACTTTCAGTAGGCAACCTTTCTCACGCTCTGATGCCACATGTTTTCCCTTCATCTATTCAGGGGGTCTTCTATGAAATGCAAGCACGTGATGGCGTGCTGCTGGCTTGATTGGGCCCTGAACCCTGAAGCTGTCATTCATTTTGCCTTTCAGACGGCCAACAATTTGTGTGGAAGCTCAAACAAAGGTGTCCCAGGACGACTGGTGTTAGTTGCTCTGCTACATGCTACTATTAGGTTTTCAGGGAATCTTGTACTATCTTGCTGCATCTATTTATTTGTTTTGAACTTGAATTTGCTGCACCAATTACTACCGTTAAGAACTAAGTTCACCTCTAGGTGAAGTTTCTCCATTGTTATGTACTCAGGCACTTGTGTTGTGTGTAACTTAATTTGATGGATTATGCATTCAGTTAAGTCGAAACAGCTGGGTTGAGAGATATATGCAGTCAGGTTTCAGACTTGTAACATTTTGTCACTTCTACACTCTGAACTCTACTGTCAGTGGACTGCTATACTCTGAACCAGGGAAGAAAAATTTGTGATGGGAAAGTTTCCGTGACCCGCGAAATTTCAGACATCTTGGGAAATATTTGGTTAATTTCAGACCCACCAAATTCAAATGAAATTCACCGAAATTTTGGATAGTGAGCTCCAGTAATCTGCTGAACATATCTTGTAATTAAGTCAATAAAACAGAGGACAGTTGTTGCTTGATGCTTCGGCTACCACAGAAGTTGAGGCCAGCAATGTCGTACATCACTTCTTCATATGTACAACTTGCTACAGGCAACAAGTAGTAGTACTGTAAGTCGGTAACTACACTACCTGAATCGATTGTGTGCTAAGTACTCAGTAAGGTTGCTCACCTTCTCCAGCAGGAACAGGCGAAGACTTTGCACTAGCCGCTACGATGTCGCTCCTTCTTCGACGGCGCCCACGCCACTCAATCCCACTGGCCTTAGTAGTGTCGCCGCCGGCACCGGCTGCTGTCCTGTAGGGCAACAAGTATCCACCGTTGGACTGCTGGCCAACAACCACCGTGGGGTATTTCCATGTGAAATCTTAGCCAACATAGCGCATCAGGGGCCTCACCCTCTACAGAAGCTTTTTTTTAACATGCACCCGCTACTGAACTTGCAGTGAAAACGTGAGGTTCAGGCCAGATTCGGAGTTTCAGGCTAGTTTAGAATCCTACCACAAAATCTTTGGATGCTATTGTTCATTCATGCTTGCAAGTCCTGGACGGTTGCAAGACAGAACTGGAAGGAAAATCTTGTGAGATTTTAAGCTTTTAGCTGGTGGTTCCATGAGCTATTGCTTTTGGATTCAGGAACTCTGGGCATGGGAGCAGAAATTCTTGGGTTCTCCCTTTCCTAAAAAAACTATGAAGGAAACAGAGTTGCTCTGCTTCCATGGGAGCCAGAAACAGGGGATCCAGCAAGTGAGAATAAACAGAGCGACCTTTTACTGTCTGGTGAACGCATTTCTTTTCATGAAACCGTTGAGGCAGCATTATATTATTGATGTTTACACTGAGTGAATCACAAGAGATGTAGTAGCTGCACGTACATGCCTACCAGATGCCGCTTCCGAGTGGCTGACGCGTGGGACCGGGCGATCCTGTCAAATCCCGCAACAGTCGCGCGTGACGTACGTGGCGAAAAAGGTGGCATGGAGATCGAGGCGCTATTGTTTATCCGCCCCGCTTACTTCGGCACGCCCCGTCCCGTGTGCTACCCTGAAATTTTGAATCCCGTGAAATCCGGGATACACTACAATCAATCGCGCCAAAGATTCTGCACCCCAAGACAACACTCGGCGGATGATGCTACAAGTTCAGTCGGCAACTCTTTGGATCAAGGCGACTGAATCGAAGCTGAAGTACCGACATAAGCCTTCCGTCCTGCGTAAAACACTCGCGAGACACAAAGCTCGGAACAAGTTCAACTTCAACCTACTTTCCACTCGAACCTTAATCCATTCGGGGGCTACTGATGAGGATACAGACCCGGGGTAGGGTCATAGGTCTGACCTATACGCCCTACCCAAGGTCACTACCGTAGAAGATAAGAAGTCCAAGAGGCAACAAAGAACCCCCAGTCAAAGGTGTCGAGTGCAATCCACTCGACCAATCATATCACTCGGGTACCCCTCCTACCTGTTGTCACTCGACCATATAAGGAATCACTCGACCTACTGAAGGCCAGGAGTCACTCAACACTGCAATGGTCAGACATTCACTCTGTAGTCTTTAAGGTCATTAATAGCACTTATGGCTGGCGTTATCAGTAACGCCCCTACTTTATGTACATTACGCCCTTGTAATGGAGGATGGCTGGGGTCCTGGCGCACTCTATATAAGCCACCCCCTCCTCTGGGACAAGGGTTCGCACCCCCTGTAACACCATACACATATAATCCAGTCGACCGTGTCCGGGCACCGAGACGTAGGGTTATTACTTCCTCCGCGAAGGGCCTGAACTCGTCAGTCTTAGGACCACGACATCACCCTCTACATAAGCTTCTTTCAACATGCATCCGCTAGTGAATTTGCAGTGAAAACGTGAGGTTCAGGCCAGATTTTGGAGTTTCAGGCTACTTTTAGATTCTAATACCACAAAATGTTTGGATGCTATGGTTCATTCATGCTTGCAAGTCCTGGACGGTTGCAAGGCCAACTGGGATGGTATCTTGTGAGATTTTAAACTTGTAGCTAGTGGTTCCATGAGCTATTGCTTTTGGGATTCAGAAACTCTTGGGAGATCAAAGAGAAGGAGCGGTGCTGACAGGAAATTGGAAGATGCTTAGTTAGTCTTAAACATAATCTACCAAAGTAAGGTGGAACGAATGAAACCTCGCAAACATAAGTGTCGAAGGGCCCAAGAAAAAATGTCGACAAATGAGTCATTTGGTCGTCCGTTTACAGTCGATCATATCTCGAGATGCGAGATTCAAACAGAGAAAGAAAGGAAAGTTAACTTTTGTGAGAAACAGTAGCTTTTTTCTTTGAGGGGCAGAAACGGTTAAATGTACGACTGAGTCATCATGCCAGTGACTGTTATTGGGCTTCTACACAGTACGGGCTGTACAGGAGAAGCAGAAATTCCTGGGTTCTCCCTTTCCTAAAAAAACTATGAAGAAGGAAACAGAGCTGCTCTGCTTCCATGGGAGCCAGAAACAGGGGATCCAGCAGGTGAGAATGAACAGAGCGACCTTTTACTGTCTGGTGAACGCATTTCTTTTCATGAAACCGTTGAGGCAGCATTATATTATTGATGTTTACACTGAGTGAATCACAAGAGATGTAGTAGCTGCACGTACACGCCTACCAGATGCCGCCTTCCCTCGTGCCTTCAACCATCAGGCGTTCACCTTGGACAGTCTGCTCGCCGACGTGTCCACGACGCAGTATATCATGACATTTCATCAACAATTTCTCATGCCCATACGTGACATGTTCTCCCTTCATCTATTCAGGGGATCTTCCGTTGAATGCAAGTGTGTGATGGTGTGCTGCCGGTTTGATTGGAATGTTGTGGTGATGCCTGAACCATGAAGCTGGATTGATTAGTTGTGGGTGGAAGCTCAAATAAAAGTGTCCCACAAGAAGTGGTCGTTACTTGCTCTGCTATATGTTACTATTTTGTTTTCAGGGACTGTTGTGCTATCAGATGTTGTTGCCTTGATTACTATTGCTAAGATCTTAAGTTCGCCTCTAGGTGAAGTTTCTCTGTTGCGTATGTACTCGAGTACTTGTGTATGTAACTTAATTTGATGGACTGCTGGGTTGAGATATGTGTACATTCAGTTGAGCTGAAACAGCTGGGTTGAGAGATATATGCTGTCAGGTTTCAGAGTTGTAGTAACGTTATTGTCACTCATATACTCTGAACCAGTGGTGGGCGAAGGATTTGCACAATGGGTATTCATCCAAGAAAAAATAATTCACCGAGCATAGATCACTCGACAGCTAACCAAAACTGAAGATCCGATTGATGGTTTGCTAAAAAGTGCATAGACTGAAGAAAATTAGCCAAAGGAGCAGCCATGATCCTCACCTTTATGTCGCCGCTTCCGGCCTGGCCGTCGGTGGTGTGTCACCTGCAGTGCCGCCGTCGCCGCTGGGCGGGAGCGCTGAGCCCCCGAGTCGCCGGGACCGAGAGCGAAGGCGGCTGCGGCTGTGTCTCACCAACAAACGGGCGTGAATTGGGGGACTGGGGGGCTGCTGGGAAATTAATTGGGCCACGAGCAATCCCATCGGATGCCTATGGCCCACGTGTGACCTCTCTCTCTCTCAAAAAAAAAAAAACGTGTGACCTCTCTTCCCTTTCGTTCTGAATGAAGGACGAAACAGAGCTCTGCCGCTGCCATGGCGGCCAAAAACAGGGGATCTTTTTTACTTTCGAAACCGTTCAGCAAGAGCTTTATTACTGTGGTCTTCAACTCTTCATCGACTGAATTACAGGAGACGTAGCTGCTCCAATGGACACATGGTCGTAAACGTACACGTAAACGAGTCATGGCTAGAGCTGCCTTCCGTCCGGCCTGAACCATCGACGCACCAGTCCTCGCTGGCATCATCGATCGTCAGAGTATCAGACGCCCGCCCTGGACAGTCTGCCCGCCGACGTGGAGACGACGAGCTGCAGCAGCTGCGGGCCGCCCAGCCGCTCCAGGTGCGGCGCCACCGCCGGCCCCAGCTTCAGGAACGTGTCCACCAGGCACAACAAAATAGCCTGCAATGCAATGCAGCGCAGTGTTAAGTTTCAGACAGGTTTAAATTCTAGCACAATGTTCAGATGCAAGGCCCGCACGGTCGCAAGACGAAATGAAATTGGTTATCATGTTAAGTTTTAATCTTCTGGAGGGTTCCATGAAATTTTACTTTGCGAATTCAGGAATTTCTGGGAGATGAAAGGAAAGAGCAGTGTTTCCCAGAAAGTAGAAGATGGTCCTAAACACAATCTAAAAATAAGGGAAAGTGGTGATGGATGAACCTTGCGAACATATGGACTGTGGTTTTCGAAGGCGTCCAAGACCGCGGGTAGGAATGTTGACAGATGAGTCATGAGGTCGTCGTGTGACAGCCGCATCACAAGCTGCAAAAA